CTATATATACATACATAATTACTACATTCATTATTCTTGTCGCCACGTGCATAAACCTTATTATCATTATTTTGTTATCATTATAAACATCGTTATTACTGACGTTGAAAACATTTACCAAGTTATTATTATTTGATCCACAAAATCACCTTCATTGGGTAAACATTTTGTATACATAAATCTCTGTAAATTAGAGTAAAGTCTGAAGAAGATCTAATTGAAAACAACAATATTGTTCGCTTATATGGCTTGTTCTAATATTAAAAATGGGAATATTTAAAGAATTGACGACATAAAGTGTCTCCAGCTGTCATTGGTCCTTAGAATCTCAAGGACCCCAACCAGCCAAGCAGTCTACACTTCCCTACGTGGCTAATTCAAACTCACTGCCGAAGATTTCATAGACTGATGAAGCCACGTCTTGGTTTGACTACCACTAAGCTCTTTTCCAACCTGATCAATCCTATATGTCAGCTAACATTGCTCGTCGGTCGAGGAAGGCAATGGCTCAGCATGCGGGACACACTTGTCCTAGGCAATCTCAAATCTAGGCAATTTCATCGACTTACTCCCCTCATCTAACACTAAGTCTAACGCTTCAATATTACTTGTCATATTATACTACTTAATACAGAAGACAGAACAGAAACAACAGTAACTAGGTTACATGTTTGAAGACTATTCACACTACATCTTTCTTATTGAAAGTGAGATTCTTGGCTTCTATCACATATAAGCATCAATAGAGATCAAGACTATCGCGTGTATTTACATCTACAGGTCTATGAAAAGGAGAATGATGCTCAGAAAGGCTTCGTATGCTTTTGGAAGTATGTGGGCGGTTGTTACTTCCCGGCTGCTTGCCCACACCGTGGAAGTTGATTGATTCTTCGGGTACCTGAAACAGAAAGTGGGTTAGTGTTGCATGACCGCAGAGCCCAGAGGACAACTGATTGAGGCCGGCTGGTCACACACGGCCTGTATGAACTAGTTTCTGGGATTGGTTCCGTATTAGTAAACTTACCGCCGGTTACGGACCACCATAGGTGGAGTAAGTCGGGATGTACAATTTTTGGGGTCGACCTTTTCTAACCCCTTCTCTCCGGAGTGGAGAGGACAGCATAGGTGGCTGGCATGCTGGTTATCTGAGAGAAACACCTCACTGCTATTACACCCCTGTCTAATCGTTATCCTAACAACCTTCCTGGGATGGTAGGACCTGCAGGAACATTGGTTTCGGCCAGTAGTGTAGCCTGTTGGGTCATCATGATGTGCAAGCCCCACCACCACATCAAGGTAGCAGCTATCGGTCGGGCCTATGAAACTGTCAGCTAAACAATTACCGCCTACCAGAAAAGATTCAGATCAGAGGTGATACAACTACAAACTAGTTGTTGCATGTGTATTTCTTTTTTTATTCCTTAGCGTTCCCAATGCAACATAGGGTGGCTTCAATCTAGAGGCTTGAAGTTTTGGGTACCAGTAGTGTTTACTTTCTTTTTTACGGGATGCGGTTGCTAGCCTTATGCCCAGACCAACCTTCCCTCTTTACCGGTCTTATTATACTGGGGCTTAGCGCGAGGTACAAGAGTGCGTCGTCCACAGGGGGACCGAACCTCGGACCACGTGAGACGTGGTTGGCGAGGATTCCTACTCCTGTGCCATCGACGCACTGAAGTCAGTGATTGTTAATAAGAAAAGAAAAGAAAATCAGAAATATGTACTAAAAAGGGATAACGAAAAAAGACAGAGAAAATTAAGCTTAGCTGGATTTCATGTAGAGAGCAACCAGCAAAAAGGAAAAAATGAGTGCATCTCAGTAAGAGAAATTACCTTCGAATATATCGCATCATTTGTGTTGTATATACATATAGAAATACACCTCTGATGTTAAACTTGATAACTCGTTAATTTCACAGTAGGACAGTTGGTGTATGTGTGTGTGTGTAAAAGACATTCCTTGAAAACTAATTAATTAATAAGCAATAATAGTCTAAGAGACTGAACAAAAAAAGGAGAGAAAAAGTGCTTGTAGAACAAGACACATAACTAATTAACTAAACAGCTGATCATTTCAGTAGATAACGTGAGACAACCTTGGGTAATAAAATTGAAAATTTATTTTTTGCTGTTTTGTTTTCATCCTCGTGAATTAATTTCAAAGTCAATTTACATAAAAATTTAACTAGACTAGACTAGGCTAGAACGTTGCAAATGGAATTTTCAAGAGTTTGGTTGTAGGGACTTGATTTATTGCAAGATTTTGATCAGACGGATTTACTGATATCAGTCCTCCTTTATGGTTGGCTGTGAGCGAGACCTGGCCATTGAGAGTGGAAGACATGACAAGCCTAACTAGCTGTCTTTGATCATAGATGTCTGCGTTCTATCCCCCATGTGAAGTGGTGGTATAATAATAGGGTGAGCAATATTGAGATGGGCGTCGGTTGAGTGATAGGTGAGGAGGGGAAATCAATAGATGAGGTTATGAAGTTACATCGATTGAGATGGATAGGACATGTGTTACGTATGCCTAGCCTAGTCATCGCCTTCCGCGACGGGCAATGTTAGCTGACATAGGGTCAAGTTAGAAAAGAGCTAGCGGTGGTCAAACTAAAACATGGCTTCATCAATCAATGAAATCCACAAGAGTCAGTTTAACCCAGCCAGCCACGTAAGAAGGTGTAGACTGCTATCTAGTGGGGTCATCGGGACGGTGAAAACCAATGGCTGGAAACAATCGCTGATATGGCTCAAAATCGTTCTCAATGGTTGGTTCAGATGCATCCACTCCTTGTGACTTATAATACCCAATAAAAATATATGGTTCTTCGATATTACTAATCCTTTGTCTCACACCTCTGTTTACTGTCTCTTTTATGTATTTCTTCTACTTTCTCTTGCTTTGTGTGTTACATGGAGGGACTGTGGCGACTTGAACTGTCGCACATCAGTGGAAATTTCTATGTCGAAAACAGAGGTCTAGTTGGGTTTCCTGCCGATTACCACCAACCACCTAATTATTTAGATATGTAAAAATTATAAATGAATGAACGAATAAAAATTATGATTGTTTTGTATGTGAGTGTGTACATTAAATTTTTCAAACGAAAATACAATTATTATTATTTCCTTTAATTCCTAGAGGAACATAAGGCTTCAGCCGCGCGTCTCCATTGCGTTCGGTTCTCTGCCAACGTTTTCACCTGGCTCCAAGTCCGCTCACATGCTTTCATCTCCTCTTCACATGACCTCCTCCAAGTCACCCTTGCAATGACGACCAACTCGCCGCTTCCTTTTCGGGTTCCACTCGAGCAATGGCTTGTCTAGTGAAGCCACTTGATGGTTTGTTTTCTCAGAGTATGGCCTCCAATCATCTCCATTTCTTCCTGCCTATTTGTTGCACAATCGGTTCCTGGTTAGTTCGTTCATTGCCAGAGATCCCTCGCTGTTGCTGATCTTTTCTGACCATCTGATCTTGAATAGTATTGAGCGAAGACAGCCGTTGATGAAGGTCTGTGGTTTGTTGGAGGTGCTCTTTATGACGCGCCAAGTCTCTGATCGTCACAGTAGCACTGACTTCACACTGGAGTTGAAAACCCGGATCTTATTTTTGACGCTGAGTGCTGTTGACCCCCTCACAGACTTGAGAGTAATGAAAGCTTGTCTTGCTTTTCCGGTTCTCGTGTTTATATCCTCGTCATTTCCGTCAGCATTTAGTTGAAATGATGCTTCCCAAGTAGGCAGGTGAAGGAGGTTGTTTCTTTCAGGTTCCTCCCATTTATGCTGGCTGATTGTTGTCTGTTGTTTTTGTTGCTGTTGTTGTTGGCCAGGAATCTTCATCACTTCTGTCTTCTCTCTCTCTCATCACTGTCTTCTCCCTTGTGTAACTCCGTATGTTATTTCGTTTTCCATGTGCACATTGAGCACAACTCTTTCATCAAACTATTCATGTTGTTCTTACGTAACTCTTCTTTAACAATCGTTTGTGACAACTCATAACTTTTGTTACTATCCTCTTATATCAACAACATGCAATTCATTTGAACTTACTGATTGTATTTTTGTTTGACAAATTTAATGTACACACAGATATATATATAAAACAACCATATATATATATATATATATATATATATATATATATACATTTGTGATTGTACAGCTATGAAAATGAATTCTCCGGCGAAAAGAAACTCTTCCCTGAACTACTACTGGTTTTCTGTCTATGGGAATTTTTCATGAATTAAAAATTAAGAAATGTTAGTCCATGTAGTTGAGGCAATGAGTCACCTCTATTCTGTGTGTAAGAGCTATTAATGATATTTGGCTGCCCAAACCTCGGTAGGTGGAGACAGATATAAACACATAGATCCATAATTGGAAGTCAACTGCCAAGATCAATGATATGTAATCACATGATGTCTATTTTTTTTTTGACAGTCTGGTGTATTTTACTATGTGTATATTGATTGTTTACTCCATTATAATAACTCAGAATATGTTTTATCTGTCCATTAACTAAATAAACAATGACAATGACCTTTTGTCACATGACATTACAACCAATCAGAATCCAATGGTGGTAAGAAAAACTACTGTCTATCTAATTGGTTTGGACTCTTTTGGTACAACTTCGTACTCTTTAGTACCTTACCACTCACACCCTTGTGTGACAGTTAAATAACCTTGTTGACAAATACAGGTATCTTCGTGAATGTGGTGGTCTTCTGATTTGCCTCTTTCGTGTGAGGACAAATTAGGCACTCAGCAATACCAGTCTGCACGTTATCGTCCGTGATTAACTCATTAGCGAATAATTATACTCGGTCACACCATAATAAGGGCAACGACCCCATAACACCATATTGGTGACGAGTTTATAACAATCAATGAGCCAAAGTTCTATAAATAAATAATTCATAGTGTTAAATATAAAAATAAGAAAATAGTTTTTATCACCCAAGTGAACAAGAAAACAACAACACCACATCACTTACTTTCTTGAAAATCATTATGACAAAATACAATTGGAAATGAATCAGCATAACATTCTGTAATTCTCCTCCTGAAGAATAAAAATAATAATAAAAGAATAAATACATTATTAGATTTAATTCTCAAACTGTACAATTGCAAATATTATATATGGTAAACTATCTTAGTCAGCGAGGCGTTTGGAGTAAACACAGGAGTCAGACAAGGTTGCATACTATCACCAATGATATTCCTAATTGTGGTGCACGACTATATTATGCGTCAAACAGTGGATGGGAAACGAGAAGGCAGGGATATCCTGGGCCGAAGTGAAGAAACCAGAAGACCTGGATTTCGTGCGTGAATGATTTATGTTTGATGTCACACAAAATCGAAGACTTACAAGCGAAAACCGACAAACTGGTCGAAGAAGCAGCCGGCGAAGACAGGACTCCAGGTGAACATAGACAAGACGGAGGTGATGAAAATAACCAACCAACAACAGCAACAACACCCAACGTCAAGACTCATTAACCAACTGACATGTATCCATATAATATGTGTGTTTTGTTTGACAGTCTGATATATTTTGCTATGTATATATGGATCGATATTCCATTATAATTAGCCAATCATGTTAAGACTGTCTATTGATTTGTTCATTTTGAATATTCGCTCACACACTTGTTCGGACATTCATATTTTGCTCTCACACTCTTGTGTGACATATTGATTCTCCTTGTGTTTGGAAAATAGAAGTATCATCGCAAACCTAGTGGTCTTCTGATTTCCGTCTTTCTTGCGTCAGGACTATTAAATTCTCGACCAGTACATAACACCAAAAAGCGTATTTTTTTTAAAATTTTATTAAGTTTCAAAAAGTTAAATAATTTGACTACTTAAACTGAAATGTACGTTTGTAACAAAGGCATGATTTGGAAAAAATGAAATCATTACAAGTGGAAAGGTTTTTTGGCAGTATTTTGAGATATTGACTACCTTAATTACTGTTTTCTTAATGAGTATATTCCTCTTCTCTCCCCTACCTACTAACGAAACAAGGCGTAATGATGTATACAAAATAACTCAGATAGTAAATTTGAATAAGACAGGAACAACAGTTTGTGTCTGCGTCTTAAGGAAGCAAATGCTTACAGTAGCGCCCTTGCCAGACATTCTCATCAATACGGGTCATGAGATGGACATCACGAAATCCTTTAAAATTAGCAATAGGCAAATTAGTTCAATTCTCCTGAAGTTTCTCGAACGCCTGCAACCAGAGTAACGTGTTCGGAAAGAGCACTTATTACTCTTCCCTTACCCTTTCCTGATAACTGGATGCCTTTATTCTGCCCTACGTGTGGTCACATAATCTTTAGCTTTAACCTCTGCCCCCCTCCCCTTTTTCTTGTTTATTGTTTCCATGATTTGAGTTGAATTAACTGTATTGTTACTCAGTTTGGTAGTTACTCACCCCTCTTGTCTTCACAACGTGACTCTTTTGATAGAGTATCCAAGCCCTTATTTTTGTTTAAAGCTGAGCTTGCGGGGGATAAACTATATAAATGCGGTTTCCTGAACAGTGTTTATTGTCTGGAATGATAAACTATAAGAAAAGTGAATACAACGCCGCCGTACTCAATCAGAATTGATACATCATGTGTCAGATTATGAGTCACATTTATAATGTGAGGATATATAAACCTGAAAAGTCCCTCAGACTGAAGTAGGACAGACAGGATTCGAACCAGAGGTCCGTTGCCCGACAATCGAGCAATTAAGCGAATGGAGTCACATCTCCACCAGTATGTAATCCCGGGTTTTATTTTGTTGGTGGATGATACCATGAATTAACATGACACAACTTCATCGCCTTTGTAAAGACCCAAGATAGCGTTCACGGCGAAGTAACTTTGAAACTACTTCAACACAATGAAGTAGCTTAAATCTTTGTCAATCGCATTCAACAACTATGTGATAATGCCATATGTCAAGTGCTCCACAACGGAAAACCAAGTGAAGAAGCCTTTGGAGTGAAGACAGGGGTAAGACAAGATTACCCACAACCTAGCATCGATGATTTTTCTAATCGCTGTGGACTGGATTATCCATCAGACTATGGGGAGCAACAAGACAGGATTTGTATCTAAGGTTACACAAACCAAACCAAAACATGGCTTCATCACTCAATGAAGTAAATCCACAACAATTAGTTTAACCCAGCCAGCCATGTAGGAAGGAGTAGACTACTGTCTGATTGGGGTCCTCGAAATGGTGAAAACCAATGAAAGTTGGAGACAATTGGTGATATGGCTGGCTAAAAATCGTCCTCAATGGATTGGCGCAGATGCATCCACTCCTTGTGACTTATAATATCCGATAGAACTATATTGTTCTTCCATATCACTATTCTTTTTGCCTTATATCTCTGTTAACTGTCTCTATTTTGTATATCTTTTTACTTTCCTCTCTGGCTTTGTGTGCTACATAGAGTGTGGCGAATCGAACTGCTACACGTCGGTGCAAAGTTCTTTGTTGAAACCAGTCAGTCAGTCAGTCACACAAACTCGAAGATCTACAGACGAAAACCAGTAGGATGGCAGAAGAGGCAAGCAGTAAGGACAGGACTTCAAGTGAACATAGAGAAGACAGAGGTGATGATGAAGGTAATCAACCAACGCATAACAACAACAACAATCAGAACTAATGGCTGTCAACGGAATAAATTTGAAAGACGTCACTTTCTCCACTTATCTGGTCAGGCAGAATCGTTTCAACTACAGACACATTCGGCATAGATGAAGATGTCAAAGTCAGAATCAGAAAGGCAAGCCGAACATTCTCATAAATATGCGGCATAAACAACCAAAATTCGGATTTCCTCTGCATGAGTTAGAGACTTGAACACTGCTTCGGGGCCAAGAAACGCATTCACAACAGGCAACTGAAGACTTTTATCAACAGATACTCCCCTTCCATGACTCCATAATCAAGATCAGATGGCTAGTTGGAGGGAATTATCAACAATAAACTCTAGGAACGAACCAACAGGCGAGAACCTATTGCTGAAGAAATATTCCGAAGAAAGTTGAGGATGGATGACACACACACACACACACTGAGGGGACCGTTGGGTAAAATCGTGCATCAGACAGATCCTGGAGGGAGTACCCGAATGGGAAACGGCGAGTTGGGTTTAGTCTCCGGGGTGACAGAGGAGACTGTGTGAAAAGGAGATGAGAGACGGTTGGCAATCGTGAAGCCAGCTAGAGAAGACATCAGAGAACAGTACAAAAAGTGGGGATGTGCTGATGAAGTATTATATTCCACTCGGAACCCAAGGGAACATGTGTAGAAAATAAGGTGCAATTTGAATGTGTGATTGGATTTCCAAAGGTTTATAAAAAGTATAACTCCGTCAACCTATGAGACATTAAATCAAGACAGACACTATGGTAGTTGACATTCGTAACAGAAACTGTTCAGTATCCACGAAATCCTACAAATAATATTAAAAAGCCAAAACACTGGAAGAATAATAATTTCTTTGGTACCTGAGAGAAAAAGAACACATCACTAATGATGAGTGATGAATACATAACACAAAATAAAAAGGATGAAGAGGTTTTGAATGATTGTTTGTAAAGAGTGTTTTTCAACAAGTGGTACTAGAGAAGATTTCAAAACCATTATGGATGCAAACATTTTGTCCTTTTATACAATCGATTGATCTACTCATCTGTATTTTAAGACATTTCTTTTAATTATATTGTTTAATCAGAAGGAATAATAATATATCTGACCACAGAACATTTTAATCATAGTGTCCTATTTCTAATTACATATACACAGAAGAAAGCAAATAAAAGTAATTCATGTATGTGTAAAACTTAGGCACTGTGGTAGTAATTCCATATCATACTGTGAGTGAAACAGTATTATTATTTACTGGATGACACGATTTCGAACACAATTTATTGTTCGTAATTATATCAATTATAATCACACAACTTCGAAACTTGAGTTTTATAGTTTTCTTGGCTCTCTCCTATTTGTCGTCCTAGGGGTGGTAGAATTTCCCAGATATCTGTACGGATAGGTGTTAAATCATTCCTGTTACACGTATTTGCAGTTGGTTCGATAAACAAAGCTCCCACTGTCGTCAATCTTTTCCTCCACCCTGTCGCATTAGATTTTATAACTGTCATCTTATCCCATCCAGCCTATTGTATGGTTGTGTGTAATTCCATGCAGTGTAGTGCTGTAGCTGAACTATTCTCCAGATTTCTTATCTTATTTAGGTCAACTAATCTAGATTTCGCTGCTACGTTTTTATGCTCCCCTAGTCTGACTGCCACTGTTCTACTGCTTTCACCTATATATCTAACCTGACAATCATTCCAGCAGGGTATTAGATGAACTAAATTGTTTTGTTTTAAAGGCTCCACAGGACTGATCCTTTAACCGACCAAGCTTGTTTCTAATTGAGTTTGTGGGTGGTTTGAATGCCGGCGACTTTTATTTCTGCCCTTGTTAAGAATTCTGCGTAAGGCTTCCGAGGTTCCTTCCTTGTATGGAATTACTACTGATGTAAAGATTCCTTATTGTTGGTGATGTCCTGCGCATATTTAACATGCATGTCGTCATTAATATTACCATTATTATTATTATTATTATCACTACTATCATTATTTATTTTATTTTTACACTTTCATACTACATACTTTCTGACTAATTTATCAGGGTAATTATTAAGTTTTAAAGCTTCTCTTATATGCCTCACTTCAATGTCTTAGATTTTCCTTGGTACTACTTAGTTTTTGTGTTCTGTCACTTGAACATTTCACCAATCCTATTTTTTATTGATATAGGATGGGATGATCGGCAGTCCAAATATCGGTTTGAATGTGTTTGGGTTTCCTGTAAACAATAGTGTTTAACTCCTAGTCAATTCCAAACATGTATATAAATGAAGCAAGAAAGTTGTGTGATTAGTGCCTTGATATGAATGATTATGAGCAGTAATAAATTGTGTTCGAAACGTGATCACATCAGTTAATATTACAGTATAACACCTCTGTGTGATTTATCAAAATAAAATCTTATCCATAATGGAGTTTACAAACTAAATCTAAGTGTAATGGTTGACTGTCCATTGGATGACGGTCTAGGGGAGATGGCTAAACCCTGATTCCAAACCTCCAACGACTGGCGTATGAAGCTCACTGGAGCTCACCGGCAGACGTATGGACAAAGGGCTTGTTGGATGTCCTGGATGTCTGGCCCCATTCAAAAAGGCGTATGAACCGAACTCCGGTCACCGGCTGCCAATGGATAGTGGACTCCTTACTCCACTCCTACTGCCTTGTGGGTCACACTTGGCTGTGTAAAGGCTAGAGCTGCACTCTCAAACAAAAGGCCGAGCGATTCTGGGGACATCACTCGTACCAAATTCCCATGAAACTTCATGAACTCTCTTACAAATTGCCGCGCCTGGGCAGCGATGATTCGAGACGTTCATGAAGCCGGCTCATCCTCCCGTAGGAGATAGCCGAAGTAAAGTAAAGTAAGTAAGTAAGTAATGGTTAAGTGGTTCATATAAAACGCACACATAAAAAACTATTGCTAACAAAACATGAAAACAAAGTAACTACTAAAATAGGTGAAAATGTTGCATTGCTCAAAGAGAGAGAGAGAGAGAGAGTAGAACATTCTTCACTTATCAGCTAATTGTCCAAAGTGTTTTAATGTGTCAGTAACAAGTTGTTGATTGCTGTTAAAACACACAGCGTTGTTATAATGATCAATACTATTACTATTATTATTGTGAATAACACTACTCAAGGTTATGAAAGGTTAGTAAGAAATTAAAAAGGTCGACTGAGAAAACTTCTTTCGGCCATCAACATTATCATCACCCGTGTTATTAATGGATTAAGAGACATTTTAACTATATTGACACAAAACAAAAGCACGTGTACAACGAAGAACTGGAATAATTACCATTCCGACAAGCATATTATATGCGATTCAATTAAGTGATAAAAAGAAAAACCAAAAAATACACAATATCTGTTATACAAAAGGTATGCAGTTGATGCATGCATAACTTTAGCCGAAATTGACAAACACTGATGATGCGTAGAACATTAATATACCTACCTAGTAGACAATTATATATTTTTAGAAATTAAGAGTTGTAAAATTAGTATATGCACGCCTACCACCTGTCTATCATCCGCTTAAGCTGACTGTCACATTTAATACTGTAACGTATTTTTCTTACTGTGGTATGGTTACAAGTGGAGCATAGGGTTTCGACAGGACACTTTCTCCCCCTCCTCACACAACCTCTTCCATATGTCATCCTAGGACGGACGGTGCAACTCGTTGTTCCCTCCCCCCCCCATCCGGGTTACACTCAAGCGATGGCCTGGTGCGCTAGCTGTCTTCGACCATAGGTGCCTGCATTCTACCTCACCTGTAAAGTGGTATAACTGGGGTGAGCAATATTAGGGTTAGGCATCGGTCGAGTGCTAGGTAAGCAGGGGAAATCTATAGATGAGGCTGTGAAGCAGCTGAATCGATTGAGATGGTTAGGACATGTATTACTTGTGCCTAGTCTAGCCATAGCATTCCTCAACCGACGAGCAATGTTAGCCGATGACATAGGAACAGGTTTGAAAAGAGTTAGCCAGTGGTGGTCAAGCCAAAAGATGGCTTCAAGAGTCAATGAAATCCATAACAGTTAGTTTAACCCAGCCAGCCACGTAAGAAGGTGTAGACTGCTATTTCGTGGGATCCCTGGGACGGTAAAAACCAATGGCTGGAATGGAGACAATTGGTGATATCTCTCGAAATCGTTCGCAATGGATGGGCACAGATGCATCCACTCATTCTGACTTATAATATCCAATAAAGCTATATTGTTCTTCCATATTACTATTCTTTTTGTCACATATTTCTGTTTATTGTTTTTGTTTTGAATCTCTTTTCACTTTCTCCTGTTCTGTCTGTCTGTTTTCGACATAGAACTTTGCACATATGTGCGGCAGTTCAGGTCGCCACACTCAATGTAGCACACAAAGTAAGAGAAGAAAGTACAAGAAAAGCATAATAGAGACAGTAAACAGAGGTGTGAGACAAAGGAATAGTAGTAACGAAGAACAACATAGTTTAATTGGAAATCATAAGTTACAAGGAGTGGATGCATCTGCGCTAGCCACTGAGAACGATTTTGAGCCATGTCACCAATTGTTTCCAGTCATTTGTTTTTACCGTCCCGAGGACCCCAACCAGGAAGTCTACACCTTCCTACGTGGCTGAGACTAACTGTTGTAGATTTCATTGACTGGTCCCATGTTTTTGTTTGACCTCCACAAGCTCTTTTCCAGCCTGACCCTGTATCCGCTAACATTGCTCGTCGAGGAAGGTGATGACTAGGCATACGTAACACATGTCCTAACCATCTCAGTCTTTGTAACTTCGCAACTTCGTCGATTGATTTCCCCTCCTTACCTAGCGCTCAACCGATGCCTAACCTCAATATTGCTCACCCTATTATACCACCACTTCACACGGGAGATAGAACGCAGGCACCTATGATCAAAGACAGCTAATCTTTTCATGTCTTCCACTCTCAGTGGCCAGGTCTCACAGCCAGTCTTGAAGGAGGACGGAGCGGACTGATGAGCAGTACACCCGCCCTTTGGTCGATAGTCGAACATCTCGTCTACGCCAGAGATGGCGTAAACTGACAAGTGCGAAACGAGCCCCCTGTATCCGTGCCGGGATTTCGTCAGAGATCAACCCGTTGGAGTTGGCTGATGGTACTTCCCAAATAAGTGAAGCGTTCAACGTGCTCTACCACTTCACTCCCTATTTCTAATCTAAGAGTCGCTGCAGTCCAGTCTTGTACCATCATCTTGCATTTGGCGGGAGCGAATCGCATGACATGGTGTGATGCATAATCCAGTCCACCACGATTAAGGAAATCATAGGTGATAATTGTAGGCAACCTTATCTTACTACTGTATTCACTTCAAAGGCTTCCTCTCTGACATTGGGAATCACTTGACACTTGACAAAGACTGAGATGGTTAGGACATGTGTTACGTATGCCTAGTCATCACCTTCCTCGACGAGCAATGTTAGCGGATACAGGGTCAGGCTGGAAAAGAGCTTGTGGAGGTCAAACAAAAACATGGGACCAGTCAATGAAATCTACAACAGTTAGTCTCAGCCACGTAGGAAGGTGTAGACTTCCTGGTTGGGGTCCTCGGGACGGTAAAAACAAATGACTGGAAACAATTGGTGACATGGCTCAAAATCGTTCTCAGTGGCTAGCGCAGATGCATCCACTCCTTGTAACTTATGATTTCCAATTAAACTATGTTGTTCTTCGTTACTACTATTCCTTTGTCTCACACCTCTGTTTACTGTCTCTATTATGCTTTTCTTGTACTTTCTTCTCTTACTTTGTGTGCTACATTGAGTGTGGCGACCTGAACTGCCGCACATATGTGCAAAGTTCTATGTCGAAAACAGACAGACAGACTTGACACGTGGTATCGTCTAATAGCTTTTGAATGTCATTGATAAGGATTTAGGGTACTCCATAGTGTTGAAGTAGTTTCAAAGTTACTTCGCGGTCAACGCTATCGAGGGCTTTTTCAATATCGACGAAGTTGTGTCATCTTAAATCACATTATCTTCCACCAGCACCATAAAACCCGGGATCATATGCATTATGCATAACTGGTGGAGATGTAACTTCATTCTCTTAATTGTTAGATTTTCGGGCAATGGACCTCTAGTTCGAATCCTATCTGTCCTGCTTCAGTCTGAGAGACTTTTCAGTTTTAAATACCCTCACATTATAAATGTGAGTCATAACATGATACATCAGGTATCTATTCTGGATGAGTCGGATAGCGTTTTCATTAACGTTCCCTCATATTTCATGATTCCAGACTGAATAAACACTGTTCAGGAAATCACACTTATATAGTTTATATAGAGTTCAGGTTCAAACAAATATAAGGGTTTGGATACCGTACCGTACGTTGTGGATCACTTGACATGCAGCAGTGTCATATAGTTGTTGAATGTTGTTGATAAACATTTGAGGTACTACATATTGTTGAGGGAAAACTTTACTGTCTTTATAATTAGAACAAATTTAAGACGGACTAGAACAGTAAAAACTAACACCTTAGGTGAACTGGTTCCCAGTAGCACCTAACCAACAAATATTATCTTTCAGGATTTCATCATGAGCTGACACTTGAATACCAATGAGATGCTCACTGGCGACTGGCCCTATTCAGTTAGGTAGTTGTCTGGGTTCCAGTGGGTAGTCGTGACCAGTAGGGTGCAGCTGGTCGGGTGTGAGGACAAATACTCGCCGAAGACACAGGCTAGCGGTTGCGCTATATCGTGAATTGGCAGAAGTTAGAATTTAAGGACCATTGGATCGGGTCCAGTGGCTTAATGGTATACGAGCTCGCCTTGTAACCGGAAGGTCCTGGGTTCGAATCCCGGTGGGTGAGTACTGCTGAATAGTCCCAAACTAGGCTGATGAAACAGCTGTTCAGTACTCCCAGGTTTTCCAATGGTTCTCTAACTAATGTCAGCTGATGATGAAATCCTGAAACCAATCAAATCCCTACAAACCAACACTTAAATATTATCTTCGTAATTGATGATCAAATAGAAAACTAGATTCCTTTAAGCTTTGATTTTCAACATAAACATTTATTGACCATTTAAGGCGAAGCCTTTTTCTTCGCATACATCACAATGGCACAGATGAAGTCAGATGTTGGGAGAAACGAAGAACCAGGTTAACAAGCCTTCTTTGAATAAAAATTTCCCACAGGCAAGTGAAACAACGTAACGCTTGTACACCTCTTTTTAACAAGCCTTTAAAAAGAAAACTCATCCCAGCCACTCACCCACCAACCCAGAAACACACACATCGAATTACAATACTTACTTTAACCAATTGAATTCATCAATAAGAGATAATCGATAAACCATACTTTTAGCTTCATCATACGATGGTTCTGTTAGCATATGTCCATCATTAGCGAATGAAAATCCTTCCATTGCTAATTGAGATAAAGTGTTTGTCGATAATTTTGGTCGTGGACGATGCAAATGTTCTGGAGTATCTGTCAACTGATCAAGATATTTGCTTAACATTTTCATAATGAATGATGGTGTTTTAGAAAATGGCATACATAATTTATGAAAACAAGCCATATGTCTTGCAGCAACATCTATCACTAATGGAAGCTCTTGAGTTGTCAAAGGTCTTGACTGTAAAAAGGCAAGAGTTGAAGAGAAATAAACAAAAAAAGAATATGTGAAAAATTATAAACAACTCAAAACAAACGGTAAAGAAATCAAAGAGAGACAGAAAAACAATATAAAAAGAAAATATTGACGGTCTGCTTAAATCAGTGAGATACCTGAATTTCCATTTCACATAATGAATCACATTTTCTGTAATTCTCACTGTCTTAAACATTCAGCTATGTCCTTAAGTCGCAAAAATGTACTCACGCACATTTTCAGCTATCTTTCAAACTACTGATGGGCATTTTACGGAGACGAAGAAGAAATACCATTGGGGATTGTAACGACAGAAGACAAGGGCCAGGCAACAGATCGTTTATTGAGAAAATCAAGAGATATTTATATATCTTTATGAATACTACTATTCGTTATTATTAGCAGAGAAGCAACGTCTTCTGATTGGTTATTTTCTTGCTGAAGGTTATTCTGTACTGCTTGTAACCATTTCTTAGAAAGTTAAGCCATATATCTGCGAATCGCATTTGCACAGGTTAAATCTGCTGTGATTGGCTGGTGAGTTCCTTAAGGTTAAGCTTTGTTATTGTTTTTTCTTCTCATGACCCCGATTCGGGACGTGAACATTGACGTGAATTGCTGTCTACAATTTTTGGTTTACAGCTAGCTCTCACCACAGGATCAGTCCATGCTTAAGGTCTAAAACAATACGTCACGTCATATACTATAGACTGCTATGTTTTGCTTGAAGATCCTGAAAAACATTGATTAATAAATTATGCTGACAATTCTGTACGCCGCGTAAACATCTTATTCAGAATAAAGCTATTTATTTACTGATTTAAGCACGTAACATTTAACTAATGGGTCATGGATTCGAACCACATTCTGTGGTACTAATATCCAGTTCCGGAAGTCTACTAATCCGTACAGATAGACAGTTATATTTTACCCTTTTCGAAAACGTTACTACTCGGGTTAGTTTGTGTGAGTTATTTTTCCGACATACTACTGCCTACTCTCTCTCCTCATGTCGGAGTACATGTGTCAACCCATTCAAGTATATTTTTTCTAAACTATTTAAGCTGAGTAAAATTTAATGGAAAATTATCAAGAACCTCTTGTCGTTAACCCATATTTGTACAGTAACATAGACACTATAACCGTTTCAATTTTATTGGCCTGATCATTTAAGCAGTATGATAAACTTTCATTTACTAAGCGCGCCCACGGCTTATAATCCGATGAGTTGCAAAAAGAAACACATATCGATAATGCGAAATACAGGAAAAGTAAGCATTCACTGGGTAAAACAATCCACTCCTCAGGACGTATATCATATTCACCAGTTGTATTTCTTTAGTGTTATAAATTTGAAGTTCTACTTTACGTTGAACTAATATTCAGTCTTATTTCACATTATTTCTAAAATGAATGTGACCACTAAAATATTACGAGAATTGAACTATGACGGTGGATCGGTGGCACAGCGAAACACCAAGAGATGATTGGAAAAAATCAAATCCCCATAAACTAACTCTAGAAAATTAATCTGACGCTCCCTACCAACTGGTTACGGAATGAATTTGAAGGTCGTGACCAGTTGAGTGTACCCAATCGGCAGTGAGGATAAATAATACTCACCGCCGATGATATTTGGCGCTGGCGCTAGTCGTGCTAAAATCTCACAGTAGTAGAAGTTAGAATTCATACGCTAGCCATTGAGGAGTCGAGTCACAGTGGCTGAGTGGTCTGCCAGCTTCCCTTGTAACTGGAAGGTCCTGAGTTCGAGTCCGGGTGGTTACGCACTGTCGATGAATCCCAAACTAGTGGGTGAAGCAACTGTCCAGTACTCCCAGCTGCTTATCAATGGTTCTCTAACTGATATCAATATAACTGATATACATACATATAGCAAATAAAAGGGATTTGGAAATATATTAAAACTGGCTCCACTGTTAATTACTACATCATTTGACTGATACTTTAACGTTAATTGTATATTTTTTAGTCTTAATCTAAAACCAGAAATAGAAGGTTAGTGAAAAAGGAGTATTTTCTTCCCGTGTTTAACAATTCTCGATTTATTAGCTACTTTATTATTCAAGGGGGTTGGGGGGTGGTTAATAAACGCAGGTTTCAAGTGTGACCATAGACTGATTCCATTTAGAGTACAATTAAAAACCAGCTGGGAGTACTGGACAGTTGTTTCATTCTAGTTTCGGATTCATTGGCAGTACCCACCCACCAACCCACCTAGATTCGAACCCACGACTTCCCAGTTATAAGACAAGTTTGTAGACCATTGAGACTCTGGGGATTCAACTCATTGGCTTTTTAATTGTACATGAACTAGTTAGTTCCCATGATGCCAGTAGAATAGATGGTACTGAAAATGAAACCAAGTCAAGCACTAAATGCCTTGGATTAGTTCTTTCCTCTGACCTTTCATGGTCATCCCACATCTTATCTATCTCTAAGAAAATGTTTCGTCTTACCTTCTACATTAAAAAGTTAAGACAATCAGGTATCAACCAACCTTAAGTTTTGCAATTTTTAAACTTCTGTATTTTACCTATTGTACTGTATTGCTCTCCATTAATCTTTCCTGGGCTTCTCAAAAAAGATTATATCATATTACGAAGGGTATTAAATACTGTGAGTAGGGCTTGTGGTATGCCACTGTGTGAGCTCGCCAATACTACAGTCGAGAGACACATAAATTCCTGTACAAAATGGGCAAAGGCTGTACAGTCAGACCCTCTGCACCCCCTTTATTCACAACTATCCCCTTGCATCTCATCAGGTAGGACGAGAAGTCAATATAAGAAGTTATATGCTCGAACCACTAAGTAAAAAAATTCGAAAATACCCTATTTAGCCCGTATTTTATGTGATGAAGACACTACACTGTTAGGTGTGAAACATATAAGTTACTATGTAATTAGCAAAGTGAATCGACCCTTTCATTATTCATCTTTCTGTAATTTTATGGTGTGACCCTTTCTATCATTGAATTATAAATTTGCTATTTTATTTTAGTTGTTATTACTATTATCACTGCAATTTTATACGTTATGCATATTTTTCTCCGTATCGCAAACTGTAATTTCCTACATAGCTGCTATAACAACGTTTTGTTATTATTATTATTATGTAATGTTTATTTTTGTTGTCGTTTTTGAATAAATTAGATGCAATATTGTACTGAAAGGTTGAAAATTCCTTGCTGTATCATTAGTACTGTTTTTGGAATAAAGCAAAAATGTTTATTATTAAATTTATTATTTTATTATTATGAATATTAATTGTGTCAGAGAAAAAGATTCTAATCCCAAAGAGTAAATACATGTACTTTCACCTTAGCATTATGAGAAAGGTTTGATCACAAGCTGAAACCAGTTTGTCATTAATGCTAAATAAGCGTATTGCACGTGTTGAAATCTGTTTACTAATTACAAAGATCTATTTCTTACTATTAAGCGCTTAGATTTGTAACACCCGAAGGAGCGTTATTTAGTAATAATTAGGTTTGGTTGGATGGAGGATTCCATCATGAGCCGAAATCAGTTAGAGAACCACTGGAAAACCTGCAAAGGAGTACTGGACAATTGTTTCGTCAGTCTAGTTTGGGACTCTTCATCAGTACGCACCCAGCGGGGTTCGAACCCAGGACCTTCTGGTTACAAGGGGAGTTCGCAGACCATTGTGAGCCACTGGGACCTGATCCAATAACCAGTCCATGAATTCTAACTTCTGACAATTCACGACATAGCACAAACCCCGGTGGGTGCGTACTGCTGAAGCAGAGTCTCAAACTAGGACGAAACAGCTGTCCAGTACTCCCTGACAGGTTTTCCAATGGTTCTCTAACTGATGTCAGCTCATGATGAAATCTTCCATCCAATCAAACTAAAAATCTCTACAAACTAATACTTGAAGAATAATAATTATGTTATGCAATCCATGCTATGAAAAAGTGGAATTCGGTAATTAAACTTGGGCAGTAAGCGATGAACATTACTCACAGCCTACTTATCAATATACGAAAAAGGTTAATCAGCGTTTCAACCTATGATATAAGCTACACTTTTACAGTTATAAATAATTTTAACTACATCACACTCACCTCAATATATTCTTCTATTCGTCCACCGGGAAATACACCATGCAACTTGGGTCCAATACGTTTCTCGGAGAGTATTGCAAAATTAACTGAATCAGAAACGATAGAATCAGTACAACTTCGCAAAACTTCACCGTACACGCGAATAAGTACTTTACGCGGTTCATTTTTAGCAGAGTTGACATCATCTTTTAAAAAGCCAATATATAAGTAATTGCTTAAACCACAACTCCTACAAATAAACAAACAAACAAAATAAAGGTTGTGCATGATTTAACTATATAAGCACATGATATGAAAATAAAACTGGGTTGTATTTAACCAAAAAATGCAACAGACACTTAACATACATTTGTTAATCTAATGTTCAGCGTCGGTAGCACAGCGGTAGAATGCTCGCCAATCACGCCTCATGTGGTTTGGAGTTCGATCCCCAGCCCACGATGCACTGCTTTACCTCGCTAAGCCAGTAATATGACTGGCAAAGAGGGAGGGTTGGGCATGAGGCTAGCAACCCCATCCCGTAAAAATAAACACTACTGCTACCGAAACTTCAAGTCTGTAGCTTGAAGCCACCCTATGTTCCATTGAGAACGTAAAGAAATAAAAACATCCAATGTTCAGGCATACTGACGGAGTGGTTTCAACGTAGAACTTTACACTGACATGCAGCATTTCGAGTCGCAACACACTTCGCTTAGCACACAAAGCAAGAGGAGAAAGTAAAAAGAGATTCAAAACAGAGATAATAAAAAGAAATATGAGGAAAAAGGAATAGTGATATGGAAGAACAATATAGTTTTATTGGGTATTATAAGTCACAGGGAGTGGATGCATCTGCGCCTATCCATTGAGAACGATTTTGAGCCATATAGCCAATTTACACCTCCCTGCGTGACTAACTTAAACTAACTATTGTGAATTTCACTGACTGACGAGGCCATGTTTTGGTTTGACTACCACTGGCTCTTTTCCAACCTGATCCTATGTCAGCCAGCTAACATTGCCCGTCAGTCGAAGAAGGCGATAGCTAGGCTAGGCACACGTAACACATGTCTTAACCATTTCAATCGATGTAACTTCACAACCTCGTCTATTGATTTACCCTCCTTACCTAGCATAAGTGAAAGTGATGTTCGATAAATCATTATTTATAAAATTTATTTGAAAGAAGCACCTAGATAGTGTACTCACTAAATGAGCAAACACATACCAGATAACTGTTAGAAACCGAACTCTATCATTTACATCCAGTATATACCAACAGAAATCTTTAAAAGAGTAGATCCATGTCGAAAACTTTATGCGATTTAGCGTCAATAGATAACTAATTAGCATAATTTTAGCACATCCCATACTGGTAGAACTATAAACGACACTGTATTCTGTTTCCTAAAATTTTAGAAACTTTGGAAACAATGTTTAAAACAAGCCTAGTCCTATCTCGCAATTATTGTTTTCTAGGAGTGTTACAAATAGATAGTTCGGCATACTAGTGTTAAAGGTGAGTCAGAGGACAAATGTTTTTGAGTACAGTAATAAACCTTAAGGGTTGAACGATAAAGCATTTTTATAGCAAAGAGGGGTGGCAGAAGTGATGACAACAACTATATTTATTGAACACCATTAGTTGCTGTAAACTTAAGTGACAACGTCTCCTAAGTTTTCAAGTATTGGTTTGTAGGGATTTGGTTGATTGGTTACAGGATTTCATCATGAGCTGACATTGGTTAGAAAACTACTGGAAAACCTGGGAGTGCTGGACAGCTGTTTCGTCCTAGTTTGGGACTATTCAGCAGTACTCACCCACCGAGGTTCGAACCCATGACCTTCTGGCTACAAGGCTGTCGAGCTAGCTCGTAGACCATTAAGCCACTGAGGCCCGATCCAATGGCCCGTGAAATTCTAACTTCTGCCAATTCACGATATAGAGCAACCGCTAGCCTATGTCTTCGGCGAGTATTTGTCCTCACACCCAACCTGCTGCACCCTACTGGTCACGACTTCTCACTAGAACTCTAGGTGGAGCAGGTCGCGTGTGAGGACAAATACTCGCCACCGATGACATTGGTTAGAGGCTGCGCTATATCGTGAATTGGCAGAAGTTAGAATTCATGGGCCATTGGATCGGGTCCCAATGGCTTAATAGTCTACGAGCTCGCTTTGTAACTAGAAGGTTCTGGGTTCGAACCGCGGTGGGTGCGTACTGCTGAAGAGTTCCAAACTAGGCTGACGAAACAGCTGTCCAGTACTCCCAGGTTTTCCAATGGTTCTGTGACCAATGTCAGCTCATGATGAAATCCTGTAACCAATTCTCCCAAGTTTATTTCATTGTATGTGTGTGAAAATTTCTTTAAAAGTAGATTCATTAAAGGACTGAGAACAATTTATTACTCATAATTGTATCGCTTTAATATAATAACATTGGTATAACATTAAATCACATAATGCTAAGAGGTGCTGTCATGCTTTGGCAACTCTTTATTCAGTTCACCCTGACAGATTGTATAGAATATAACGATCTTTAACAGGAAACTAGAATACTTGGACTGTCTGTTCTCTTCATCCTTGAATATGTAGATGAGAAAATGATCAATAACAAAAAACAAACGCCTCATACTTCTTAAAACAGTTTTATTTGTAATCTACAGTAATAAAACAATGAGATGTAATGGAACTGTTCTTTCAATGTTTGAAACAGTCGATGCCAGACAATTTTAAACATATTACGTAAAATCCAGTAATATAATCAGTTGGCTAAATAAATGACTATAATTGATGGTAAATTTTTATGATTTGCTAAGGAATTAACAAGTTTCAACCATTTAGAAAAGTGTTCCCAAGAAATGATTACAGTTGCATTTATTTTGTTGACGTGGCTCCAGTAACTAGTGTGACATGTCTAGTCCTTTGTTTGGTGCAGACTGAATTCTATCAGTGTAGTTCGCAATTTGGCCACCATTCTAGGTAGCTCGCCATCACGGTGAACTTTGAATTGCTGATGTTAGATAGTTGAAGGCAATCCGCAGGAAACTTTGGATCTAGGTTTCATGCTAGTTGGCACTGAGTGGTAGCGTCTCTGACTGCAGCGCTCACTGGGTGACGCGGGTTCGAATCCCTTCAGAAGGGACGTGAGTTCCTTCAAGGTTGTAGATACGCCTTGCTGACGAGTGGTAACTAACACGAAACCCAGGTCCAAAGCTTCCTGTGGCCGGTTGTCTTCAACCATCTAACACCAACTTTTTATTTTAATGGTGAGCTCAGAAAAAAAAGTATTCGACATGATGAAAATATAAGTGATTGAGTGATTCTGAGGAACTTGAATCGCAGTTCCTTTACTATTAACATTGCAAAAAACTAACACTCCTAAGTATACTCAATTTATACAGGCAGTAAAAACTTACCGAGATGGTTCTACGCAGAAATTCCTTGTATCAGACCAGCTTCCAGAAAGTAATTTTGAGCACTGTGATTTAAGATTGTTTATTATACTTTTTGAATGATCTGTCAGTTTATCAACAGCCAAAGGAACAGCATCTGGGCATGGCACACTGTCTTGCTCATCATTAGAAAGCGTAAAATTTACTACCGACATGAGATTTCAGTGAGAATAGATGTTGAATTAGAAACCTGCACGTTTAAAGCATAAAAAAAGGATTATATAAAGCATTAAAAAATGTAATAAACACATTAAGCTAAATAAGTACCTCAGCTGAAACTGGGGAAAACACAACAGAGATACCAGTGAAATAATTCACTTGACAAGAGGTAAATTCACTTCTGGAAACCTTCGATGAAGTGCCCTACCAAAGGATGTTGACCATGTTCATTGCCACCTTTATACAGGATCAGTGTTAACTACAATACGATTATCTCTAAATGAGGTTAATGGAGGAAGAGAGAAATTCATACGATCTTCGCGTAACTAAATATATTTTCACATTAGAATGACATTTGAGACACGGCCATTGAAAGTGGAAGACATCGGGTATAGTTGTCTTTGACCACAGATGTTTGCACCCTATCTCCCATTTTAATTGGCACAATATGTTGAGTAATATTGAGGTTAGGTGTAGTTTTAGGTAAGGAGGGTAAGTTAATCGATGAGGTTGTGAAGCTACATTGATTGAGATGACTAGGACACATGTTGAACATACAGAGCCGTCACCATCCTCGATGGACGATGATAACGCACATAGGATTAAGTCGGATAAACGTTAGGGTTGGTGCATCATCAAAATTTGGCGTCTATCCATGCAGTCTCTGACTGTTGCTTTCAGTCATATAGGGAGAGGTGTAGGCCGTCTGGTCCAGATCCTCGGAATGCTGAGAACCAATGACTCGAGATTATTGGTGATATGGTTCAAAACCGTTCTAAGAGGCACAAATGAATTCACTGTTTGTAATCTCTCATATCCACTGCACCGTTATATTTCTCCATATTACTTTTCCTTCTCCCTCTTACTTCTGTTTAATATAGTTCTTTTAAATTCCTTTTTTCTCGTTCTCCACCTTTATGCGCAAGCTGAACTGCACTTCTGTGCTGAAGCTTAGTCAGACATTAACATGACGATATTCTAGACCTAATTGGTAGCTAAAACATGGCATCAACCCATGAAATCCTTGACAGTTAAACTGAGTCAGGTAGGGAGATGCAGACTTTCGGGTTGGGGCCCTCGGGACAATAGGTGACATGGCTCAAAATCGTTGTCAATGACCAGCGCAGATGTATTTAGTCTCTGTAATCTTTCATATTCCTTTCTACCATTACCCATTCTGTTTCACTCTTATACTTGTCAGACTGTATTGATTCTCTTCACTCATCTTCTTGTTTACCTCTGTGTGCTATTTGGAACGTGGCAACTTGAACTGGTGCACTTCGGTGCCAAGTTCTATGTTGAATCCAGACAGACAGAGGTAGCTGAAAGCGAAATTGTATTTCACCTACTAACTGATCCATACGGTAGGCATATATAACCAGCCTTAGTGAGTATGACGAATAATATTTAAATCCAAAAATGTAATGCGGACAAAAAGAGGTTGTTTACTAATTAATTCCCTGAAGCCTGAGGTGTCTTGTGGTTCTTAAAAACAAAGAACTAGTTGGAAGACAGGCATAACTTATTGATTATATGCTTTATATACTAGAGAACTGGCATAAAACTGCCAGACTAACAGAAACGAAGTATAGAAGTAAGTAGAACTGGAATAGTGCGGCTTTGCGTCCCCACAAACAGTGGAAACATGTATGACAAAGGATGTTCTCTCAAGAAATATCACCTAAGGGCAAGAATGTTTTACAAAATATGAGAATACAAATATAGCCGTAACGAGAGTCATGCCGATATTTTATCCATGGATATGGAGATAATCTGTAAAGTATTAGGGTAGGAAATAGGACTGGGTATTACAGTAGGAATTCAGAGGGAATAACAAAGTCAGAAAACTGAAACAAAAACTAAAAACTAGTTGTGACTCATCTCAGGACTCGGTAGTACTTTTCCTAACCTACATTGATCGATTCCTTTGTGTGGTCACCATACAATTCTATCTTTAATGACACGAAAACAGTGGTAGACATTTTTGCACCGTAACCCCACATACTTCAACTTAAGCCACAGGGTAGTACCATCGGTCCTCAAGCGACGTGACTTATAGTCTTGAAACATGTAGAGTGGTTCAGGATGACTGGGTGTTAACGTGATGCAAATTCCTACTCAGATGAGTTAATCTAAACGGTTGAAAACATAAGAGCTGAGCGGAATTCAGATTGAAGCTCCAACCTCCCTATATAACTACATCTATATACAAACTGTCGCATCTCAGCAATTACCTTGACTACATATATATGAAGACTAAGAGACAAGCAGTCAGAAATGGTTCTCTGACAAGCAAGTGCCACTGGTAACTGTTACAGTAGAGCGTAGTTCTGACTTCAGTTATAATGCAATTGATTTCACACACTAACGAGTTTTGGTGGCTACTGGAATTAAATGTCTACGAAATAATTTTAATATGTTCTATAACCGTGCGACTGTGGAATATATCATATGACACCACCTACACTTGATGTGTAGTGACTTACGATACTAATCGAAGTGACGTTAGAATTCAATGAAAGGACAGTCTGAAGTTGAGAAAATTTAATACGTCTTCTTCTTGCATATCTGTCAGGAAAGTGAGAATACTTGGCAATGTCTGCCAAAATACTCCGGGTATACTTTTCTACGATACAATCCATTGGCTGTTATAATAAAAACTACTCACAATTAAAAAACGAAAAATAATGACCCCACCGGGTCACATGAGTTTAAAGTTATAAGGAATACATGCCCGTTAAAGCAGAATGCCCAGTACAAAAAATTACAACTGGACAAGAAAAAGCTGGTGAATAATACTGCTGAACTACCAGTTACAGAGTGCGTCACGAAATGCCCATCATACTCACCAAGAATTTATAAAAACGTGAGTGGTGACCTTGAAAGGTCAATTCAATATCCAATATCATTTTCAAGAGCAAGTATAAACAAACTTCATTTCTTCCTGCTTACTTCGTGGTTTTGAAGCAAAGGCTTCTGGTCCTCAGCAAATTTCTGTTTAGTTTGTTTAGTCAAGCAGTGTCCAATGGCTGGAAATTTAATGTCCAGTATCGAATGTTATTTTCACAAATTAATACAATTCCAGTTGGATTCCTTGAGCTATCTTGTTACTTTGGAGGGAACGAAACGATGTCTGTGCTATGATTTCGCGTAGAACATCCCTTCAGTCGCCTGTGGTGGCTTCGAAAGTCCCCTACAGAAGTGGTAGGTTGGTTATTTTGTAACAATTTTAAGGGGATAAGACCACGGTCATCGATATCTTCTCCCATTACTGCCTTGGAGAGGATAAGATGACGGCCATATATTCCTATGTGGCAAGGATACAAAAGAGTGATTTTGGAGAGTAACAGGTGACAGACGGACGAGTAAAAATAAAGTGAATAAATAATTAGACAACAGAGACTAGTCAAGCCGTATAGCTGGTTGAAAACTTGATGACAAACTCTAATATTATTTCTGCACGAGTATAATCGGGTCGGAAGGCAAATTGATGTACTTCATGCGTTACCATACGATTATCTAACCCCATCTTAGAGTGTTACACTGAGATTGCTAAAGTTGTCGATAAAAATAAGGATGACGGTCTCAAAGCAAAGACTAGCAGAGGAGTTTCAATTTCCCCCTGCGACTAGCTGTACCTGTGGATAATAGTGAGGGAGTCCAGCGTGATTAGGATCATATTTAAGGCGAGTTTGCTTGCTAATGATACTGCAAGCAGTTGTTAGGTCCTCTACAGCTAAGATCAAAGAGACCTGTTATTCAGACATTTTACTAGTGTAAATTGTTTTGAAGACCCCCTACCACGTTTACTGAGGTTTTGTGAACTGTACCCAACTATTTTAAAGCCCGTATAAGGAAAGATGGAGTTCCTATACCATGTACCCAAGTGTAGGACTACATTGCAAGTGTGTAAAGTTTCTGAAAGTGTTGTAGCAAATGTGTGGTGTCTGGAACAGCAAGCACCACCGCCACGTAGCGTAATAGATTCGAAATTAATCCTGAGTTCCCTGGCAGTATGAAAACCAAGCATACCTTTGATGCGACTCTATATATTCCGTGGAGATAGATGCAATGACGCCCATAGGTGGCAGTTTAGGATTTCAGGAACCAAAATGTCTTTCTGCTTGAACGACTTAGAACTTGTTTCCGCTGAGGCTCAACCAGAAACAGAGCTCAAGATTGTTTTGATGGCCATCTGTACTATTAGGCCCGAGCTATATCCATACTAACTTCTGACTCTCTGGCCTGGCGCACCTAACCTGGTGGCCAGCCTGCCCTTAACACTATCTCAGCTGCAGAAGGAATAATATATTCCAAGATATATTTATTGGCAATGGTATGAAGAGAGCGCAAAGATGAAAAATCACACCACGGCCGCGCCCCTGCCCTTTTTAAACACAATTGTCTGCAGTCCGATCCGAACAGTATAGATGAACTATATGATCGCTGAAAGCGAAATGGCCGGGGTTTAATTGAATAATCGAACTTCATGGATTTTCTACTTTCCTCTCCTTTCAGAACCATCTTTTGATTCTATTCAGCGAGGCAATTTTCTGTGCCTATGAAAATCTCGTGAAACTTGTAACACTCGTTGTTTATTGTGAGATCAGAGGCCCTGTGGAAACTAGCAACAGGAAGTGTCTGATCGTAGTGCGAAATCAAGATCACTAACAGTATGACAGGAAAAATAGTTACCCAGAGTTTGATGAAATTAGTGGGAGGGTAGTCCGATGTAATTTCATAACACTTAACTACGCAGAATACTCCGAGAGATGTGAAGGCGATTAAATGGAGAAGGAGCATGTAAACGTGAGAGTTCCTGTGAAGAATTTAATTCCCAACTTATGTACCAAGGTGGAAAAGGTTTTTGCACCTGATACAATCACTGTTGAATTGAACTTGCAGTTGCATGAAAAAACAAACATGTGTGTGATCCCGAACCCCAAGTCCCCTAATATCACGTGATGTATCCACGTCAAATGGCGATCTGAAGATGCTGAGGGTTGAGTGTTGGTGGGTTGGGGGAAGACACACCGTTACCGTTGATTACTCCGGTTTGTTGTAGGTTATCTACCAAGTTAGTTTCTTAGGTTGTTGTTGAATGTGAAACAAAGATATGAAACAAAAGAGAGCAAACAGCATTTAGTCGGTGATCTGATTTTGTTTAATTGACAGGCTAATCATGTTAGCTTTAAATGAAATTGTTGCCCCACAGTATAGTGGATGAGAAGTGTAATGCTTTCCGTAAGTTGCAACATAAGCAGATCAGTTGCTAGGGCGTGAGTTAGTACTACGGAGAGGATAAATCTTAACTTATGTCTTTGACCTATTCCTGTTATGTCTGTCAGTGTTGAGGTGTGTGCGACAGACTGCCCAGCGTGCAGGAAATTTCCTTAACTAGGCCAGATCGCTATGCCATCATCAACTGAAAAGGTTGGACAGGAAGTGGCTCTAGTAAAACTTTCACATAACCCGCAATCATACATGAAGGTGATGGATTGGTCATTTAATTTCGCTAGGTTAGATAACCAAGGGTAGTGGTGGAGCCGCCGACAATACCGTTGGCACACATGCTTGACCGTTTTCAACTAAGTAACCATAATAACTTTTGATTGTTTCGGTGCAAAAACACACATGATGGTACATAATAATATATTATCACTTTCCCTACATAGGGGACGCCTGTTTACAGGTATTGTCAATATGATGAATATTAGATACATAGAGCAAGCATATTTACAATCTTTCACATACACAGGACATATATAAATGAGGAAAGTTAATGGAATAATGTCAGTAAACACACTTTGTGTAGGTAAAAACAGTTTACGTGATATAATCCTGGGGACCATTATTGTTTGAATTCATTGAAAACGCGCGTAACAACTGAAGGTTGCGTTGCATGTGGGCAATATGGTGGGCTACTCACGAAAGTATAAAAACGGTTTGCAAAACGTCAGTTATTTTACCGACAATGTTTCCATCATTGGTTTGGTCGCTGCTGCTAATTTAATTGATGAAACGCCTCTTGATTGAAGCATTTAATAGCTAACACAAAAACTTGACTTTTGCATGCGTGAGAGGGTCTAAAGTTGTGCATTATCAGAAAGAGCACAGTACTTCTGACATATCCACAAGTACCAACCATTAAATAATAATAAACATGCTGTCCATGTAGTTGAAGATTGAACGATCAATTCATGGTTGTTTGCTCGAACCCAACGTCCCTATATTTTCGCGGAGGCATCAATCCACCAGTCATCGTCTCATTGGTCGCTGTTCAGAATAAAGGTCAAAAGACTGTCAGAAGTAATACTGTGATTTATTGTGTAATATTTGTTCTTAGACCTTAGTCTGTAATCCCAATCTTGCTGTTTATATGTTAGCGTTAGAATAAAGAATTCTTGAGTCGCCAAACAGTGTTTTGATTCTTGCGTCGGTTAATACTAAGCGTTTCTGAAAATCTTCGAGGGACAGCGAGAGGCCCAGCGTAGCAAGAGCTAGTCATTAACGGTTCATGAGACTTGATTGAAACCCGCCCCATATAAATTTCACATCAGCGACATGACCAGCAAAGTATTTGGAATGCTATTAAGGCAAACTCCTGAAATTCAGGTAAATGCGGTGTCAAGGGCAATGTGCAAACGACCCTTGAAGATGCGGTGTCAGCCACGTCTCGTAAACCGTCAATGCCCAGCTCTTGCTACGCTGGGACTCACGCTGTTCCTTGAAGTTTCTCAGAAACGCTTAGTAATAACGGACGCAAAATCAAAACACCGACTGGCCACTCGAGAATTCTTTATTGTATTACCAATATATAGCCAACTCTAAAATTAGGCTTTAACTAAGGTCTTTGAACAAATATTACAATAATAAATCACAATATTACTTCTGACAGTTTTGGCCTGACATTTTTCTGAACAGCGACCGATGAGACGATGACTGGTGTATCGATGTCTCCGCGAAAATATAGGGAAGTTGGGTTTGAGCAAACAACCATGAATTGATCGTTCAATCTTCAACTGCATTGACATACAGAGTTGCTGTCTTCGTCCGAACCTAAAAAAGACAAACTGCTGCGAAGAAACTCAACCAAATCCTGAGGAAACCAAAAAGTTGCATTTGCTGCTGACCAAATCCAAAAGAAACCAAATGGCTCTGACTAAAATTACATTGGTAACAGAATGTTGAAGAAGCGCAGGATTACTGTTCTGTTAAACACATTGTGTCAATGTAGTTGAAGATTGAACGATCAATTCATGGTTGTTTGCTCAAACCCAACTTCCCTATATTTTCGCGGAGGCATCAATACGACAGTCATCGTCTCATTGGTCGCTGTTCAGAAAAAAGATCAAATACCGTCAGAAACCTTAGTTATTACGATGGCTATATGTTGGTGTTAGAATAAAGAATTCTTGAGTCGCCAATTGGTGTTTCGGTCTTTGCGTCCTTTAGCACTAAGCGTCTCTGAAAGGCTTCGAGGGACGGCGAGAGGCCCGGCGTAGCAAGAGCTGGGCATTAACGGTTTCGAGACGTGATTGACACATTGTATCATAGAAGCATGACACAAACCTTCAGATGTGAGGTTATTTGGCATCCGAACATTGCTTGAAGTCGAAATTCAATCGCAATTAACAAACTGTCAGTTCAAGCATGAAGCATACAGGAGTCCAATGAAGCGAAAACGGTCTAAGTAACACAAAATGGAAAGTGGTGTATAAGATAGAAATGTAATGCTCAAAGGCGGAATGTTGGGTGCAACAAGAGTTTTACCAGTAAGGAGGATTTCGTTAGCTAATTAAAGATAACATTCTCAGGCGTATACCTAGCTGCAGTAGTGTAAGTTCCAGCCAGCATTGATTCCTAAAATTCCGATCACGTTTGACTT